AGAAGCAGAAGCAGAAGCAGAAGCAGAAGCAGAAGCAGAAGCAGAAGAAGAAGAAGAAGAAGAAGAAGAAGAAGAAGAAGAAGAAGAAGACAAGCATACATCACATTTCCAAAATATTTCTATAAAAGAAAAAGGATACTTATCCTTAATATTATGACTTCTATATAACACTATATAGAGGATAAAATATGCTAGGAAGAAGAAATAGAACATTTAAGAATTGGAGTTCAAGAAAAAATTTGTCATTGTTTATGATGATATAGATGTCCATGTAGAAGAGCGAATTATAAGGTTAGCTATTAAAAGTAATAGGAGAAATCAGCAAGGTTGGTGAATGAACATATACCGATAATAACCAATGAACTGAAATGAAAGACTAAGTCTATACATAAAGCACAAGAAACTAAGTTAATGTGAAGAAATTAAAAATAGGGGCATAAAACATTCATGAGAAAAATTATAAAATACTATTAAAGAACACAAAGAAAGACCTAAAGAAGTATAGGTATTGAGTTAATGGGCAGAAGACATATAAAAGTTTTACTTCTTACTCCCGTTATTCTCCAGTAGCAATGTAATTTCAAATAAACTTAGCAGAATATTTTTTAAGGCATTTGGTTGTTGCAGGGTACTATGCAGCTTGGACTCATGGTGATCTTTCTGCTTTCAGCCTCCCCAGCATTGGGATTCCGGGTGTGCACCACCACACCTGGAATCTGGCTGGCTCAGCCTATCCTGAGGGTGGGGCCGGCTGTGGTGCTGGTGACTGAACCATAGTCCCTGCGTTTGCCTATGGTTGCCTAAGAAGGTGCTTTAGTTCACTGAGCTATCTAGCTGGCCCCTTAGCAGAATTTTTGATAGACTTAATTATCCTCATACTGGAATAGGAATGAAGTAGATTTACTTCACTAATAATAAGAATATTATTAAGTTATGGTAAGGCACTGTGATATTAGTCTAAAGATAGAAGAATAGTATACTGAATAAAATAAAAATCCTGAAAACAATTTTGATGTAAGCAAATGATGATATTGCAAATCAGTCAGTAAAAGATGACTAATTTGTTAAATAGTGCTATGATAATTGGATTATCCATATTGAGAAGAATAAGATGGGCTCATGATCTAAATATAGAAAGCAAATCTTTAAAACAGGAGAAATTATAGGGCATATGGAAAGATTTCTTAAATAAAAAAAAAGCACAAATCATTAAGGAAAGCATCAATAAGCAGAACTGCATTAAAATCAGAAGTTTTTCATTTATTATTATTTCTTATTTTTTTTCTATTTTAGGGAAGGGCCTACAGGGTCGGAATCATAGTGATCTGCCTGCTTACAGCCTCTCAAGAGCTGGGATTACAGGCATGCACAACAATGGCCAGTCTCAGTTGCCATCTCAGTATGTCCCGTGGGTGGGGCCGGCACAGCAGGCCTGGGGATCGAACTCCCTGCCCCTGCACCTGTTTGCAGGTGTTTTAATCTGCTGAGCTATTTGGCCAGCCCTAAAATCAGAAGTTTTTTTTTTTTTTTTAATAAATGTTACTAAAGGCACAGTTAAAAGAGAAACTACAAATTGGGAAAAGATGTTTGTATTTCCTATGGCCCAAAGGTATGAGAATGCATAGTATTATAATAAAAACAAAAAATAACTAACTTCACAGCAAAACAGAACAAAACAAAAGAAAACAAAGAGAGACTTTAATGGCTTATAAATGAAAAAAATTAACTGAGAAATTATTTAATCCTCTTTAGGTTGATAAAAATTTTAAGTCTGACCATTTCAAATGTTAAGAAGCATGTGGAGAAACTCAGATTACAAATGATGTAAAGGCCAGGGAGATGGCTCAGTGGAATAAGCACTTCCCTGGCAAGTGCAAGGGTCTGAGTTCAATCCCTGGTTCCACCAAAAACAAAAAACAAAAATAGTGTGTACAAACTATGTAAATTATTATTTTGAAGAGAAGCTTTACAATGTCTTGTAAAGTTTAAAATTCATGTTTCTTCATGCTTAACAATTCTACTGCCCCGTATGAACATGTACAGAAATATTAATTTGTTATTGAAAACATAAGAAATTATGTCTTATAGTGTCAAAATCAATACATAGTTAGAGTGATATATTTAGGAGAATGACCTTAAGCTATAAAATATGCTTTAGATAAAGTTCTAATGATTGTTATTAACCTTTGCTCAAAGTCCTGGAGAATATCAAGTTTAAGAAGACATGAGGGATGCTTCCTAGGGCATACAAATGTTTCCCATGGCTATTTCACACCGTTAGGGAGTTTAGCTTATCAAATTATACATTTAGTTTTCCTACTGTAAGCAATTTCTAAGAGAACAGTAATAGAAACAGGCTTAGAAACAAATATTATTTCAAATTATTAACTTTATTTTACTTGTGTTGTGGATTCTTATATTTATTGTTCTTGATTCTATGTCATTCCTTTTGTGTGTGAATTACTTCACATTAAAACATTTTTATAAGACTCAGATCACCATTTTTCCTAACTAGAATTAAGGTAAAGAAAAACAATAGTGCCATTTTCTCTCTATCATTTCTAGGGATAGATTCCAGTATAGTAAGAATTAATAAGCACCTCACAGCCAAACATACTTAACTAACGATCATTTTGTTCAATCAAAAGCAACACTTTCAGTTCATTTCTTAACAATGTGCAGAATCTTAGTCATTATTAAGTGAGTGATCAAAGAAACATATCTTGAATATAGATAGATGTTATTAGTGTACAAAGATTATTTATTTAGGCTTTGGAACTGACAAAATGAGAGATTCACTGCAGGGACTTTTCTAAAGAGAAGTAAAAGGTGATCTGGCAATCAATATTGCTATTTGGTCATGGGCTTCATCTCTGGTTTCAGAAAAGAAAAAGAGGAGGTACCTTTTCAACGCTGCATTTCAAGTCCACCATATGGAAAGCAAGGTTTTATTTCAGCTAATTCTTCTTTTCTCACAACGTAGCGGAAATGTGCCAGCCACTGCTACTCTCGCCACCAGCTACATACAGTACAGATGTTTAGAACACATGAAAACAGAAATGAAACAAAAAGAAAAATAAGTTTTGCATAAATAAAAATAGAATATATAATTATCATAATTACAAAAGGTACATTCATATTTAACTTTCCTGCCTATGTTAAACAGAAGAACTCAAAGGAAGAAAATGTTGAAACTTCAATGTTTTATCCAAACTAACAACTATGAGAAGAAAATAAACATGGCTAAAACTGGGAATAAAAAACAGATTTCTGTTAATCAGATAAAAGACTTTTTACCTTCTAGAATGCTAGACTATAACATACTTAAATAAATACTTATTAAAGGAACAGGCCTATTTGAAAAAAATGTTTTTAAAAATAAAGTTGGAATTCTCTAAGAGGAAAAGCTCCACTGAAATCATAAAGATTCCTTACAGTACTCAGATAAAATACAGGTTAGAAAGAAATATTTTAAATCTGTTCAAATGCACATTCTATAGATAGCTTAGCCATATGAAGGCCCCATAAAAGCAAATATCCCATTAGGTTAAGCACATAGGTGCAAATCATTAAAACGAGACTGTCTTCATCTAAAAGAAAGGTTTAAAAAATGTACTGTAATGTCTGAGTGGGTCAGGACTAAACCGAAAGTCAGACCTTGGCTTTAGGTTTTGTTTTGGCACAATCTCTGTGTACCTTGGTTTATTTTATTAAACATTTTGGGATCTGAGCATCCTCACCTCTCAAGTGAGAGAGTGTGATCAAAACCTCTTATCCTTATATTCTGTAATGGATCTAATGAAATTATTCCAGTGTAAGATTTTTTGTTTACTGTTTCTTCTGCCTTTGCTAACTTCCTTAGAATAAATAGAAAATTAAGCAAATATTAACAACACACACTAATCAGATGTCCCTCGGATTGGAAGTCAGAAACTTTTTTTTTTTTTTTTTTTGCTTTTTTTCTGCCATACTTATTTCTGAATGTGTATTTTAAGAGTTCCCATAAAAGGATTTTCTATTTTTCAGAATCAAAAACAGTATATAATTTCTTAACCATTTAAATTCTAATAAGAAAGAAAACAAAATCATTATGGAAATTCTACTAGGAACTTAGACAAAGAATTCAGTAAAACTCTATTTAAAATTCAAATTGTTCATTCACATATTTTCTTTTGCAGAAACTTGGAATCTCTGCCTCAAACTAGACTCACTTTTTCAGGGACAATATTCTTACTTTTGGAAAGCAGAGGGCCTTCTCATGCCCTTCCCACCTATCCTCTGAGGTAGTTTTTCCACAAAGCAGAGGTATAGATTGCAACATGAGATATTTGAGGTAAAGTAAAACATTTCATATGGGAACACTACTGCAGACAAGTTGCCAAGTCTAAAAATGTTAGGGCCTACCACCATTTGGATAAGAAATTTGGTTCTCATGGCTGAACAATCATAATAATTTTTACACAAGATTTAAAAAAATGAAAACTCCTGGGGCAGTCACCAGAAAATAAGTCAGAAAATGAAAGTTTTTCTTGTTACTATTTGAACCAGACTAGACAGTAACAGTGTACCCTTAACAGACCTGAAGGGCCTAAAAAGAACACAAGGTACCTGACACCTTGGTGAATAAAAGAAGCTCAGCTTTATGAAAAGGCCAAAGACTTAGGGCAAATACTCCACTGTTCTAAGTACTGATATTCCATGACACCAACAAAAGCAGAAACTTGGAGGACAGGGTGGGGGGGGGGGTGTTGTGGGGGGGGGTGCACAGGCAAGGTTCCAATTACAGGATCCAGCCAGGTTCTGCTTGCTGATAAGGCTGGGACCCAATGGAATGCATACCAGAGAACACCAAAGTGGCCCCCAGGGGAGAAAGGCTCCTCAGATAGACAAGTCAGCAGTTGCACAGAGTGCGAGCACTCCCTGCTGGTAGCTAAGTTGGAGATGAGCTGAAGATATGTTTGGAAGGACTGCCTGAGGTTTCTGTTAGGAGGCTTAAGGGAGATACATTGCTCTTTATGAGACAAGAGCCTGGCTCTCATGAAGTTTAGATAGCTCTAGATATTATGCTGAATGAGAAGGAGATTAGTATATAATTTTCATTTAAGTTTCTCAGCTACTAACATTAGATAAATACACACAGGTATGTGATTGTGCAGGGGGCTTGGGAACACAGATGATATGGGAGAAAATGAATTTCTATGCAGGTCATTTTACTCCTGCAAGAGCAATCCTTCGTATCATTCAGTGTATTAAAAACATTTATGTTTTGGTAGGAATCCTATCAGTAATTTTATGAAACTGCCAGGTAAGTCCACTCCATCACCACTGCAACAGGTGGCCTTTGTGAATCTGCAGAGGCCTGAGGCAACAAAACCAGTAACTTCCTAGTGCCCTGCTCTGCTAGGGTTTCTTTTTATAATAAAATGAAGGTCAAAATAGCATCCTACAAAAAAGCAGCAGTATTTCAACTGCAGGAATAACTTGCTTGTCATCAACTTGTTAATGCAATAGTCAAACATTTCTTTGACATGTTACAGTATCAGCTAACTTCAGTAGATAAAGGGTCTAGAACAGGAAGATGATGCAGATGCTTTAGCTTGGAGGAAGGCTTAAAAGAGCCAAAACGTCAGCAGGGCTTGTTTGTTCCATACTTTCCATCGGGCTCTGTGAAAGAAATGTTAGATTACTGCAATGACAAGTTTGTGACAAGCAAGTCATTTGTGCAACTGGTGCGCTCCTGCTTTTATCTGTTTACCATTCAGACTTGTGAATGCCATTTCAAGCACTCACAGGATTTCTGGCTCCCATTAAGGGGAAATGGTTCCTCCATGTTTAGAATTTTCTGCCTCAAAGAGAATTACTAAGCAATTATTTATCCCTGTGGTCACAGTGTCACACAAAAGCACTCTTCGAGTTGTTTTGTTGGATTCTGAATCATGAAATGGAGTCCCTAGGACTGGATAGCTTGGAGCATCAAAAATTTCTCATCTAGTTTATTGGAATGACTACAAAGCAAGTCTGTGAGAGTCAATAAAATTGTGGCCAGCTTGAAATACCTTGCTCTTTTGCTCTGGGATCATATATCAAGGCCATATGCTTTAAGGCACATAAACTCACTTGTAACAAGTAGATCCTTAGAAGCTAAGGCTTGGCTGCGGACACTGACAGTGGAACTAACATATGATAGCTTTGGTGACAAGGACTGCCTTGGTTGTTGAGCATGGAATTTACACTACTTACTCCCTATGTTGCATGGATAACTAAAGGGCTAGTATAAATCCAGAAAACATATTAACTGTGTGATGAGAAGTGGTATCATAATATAACATTAACACTTGAGGTCATATTCAGTAGGCTCATTTTTTTACAGCAAGTGGAGATCCTGGCAGATGTGAAATCAAGAATTCAAGATCTTCCCAAGAATTCGAGATTCTTCATTTGAAACTACCCAGTGATTTTTGGCAACTTATTTTAATTTCCTATGAGGAGAGTAGAAAATTATAATAGAGTACCTATTCTCTGTTCACCTAGCCTGCATGGTCACAGGGTCTATGTTATAAAAAATAAAGAGTGCCTTTACAATTCAAGGTCAAAAACTCTATGTTGTATACTATTTTTATGGCTTTAAATTTTTGTACATTACTGGTTTTGAGTATACAGTCTAGTTAAGTGTGTGTGTGTGTGTGTGTGTGTGCGCGCGCGCACACACACGCGTATTATGGGGGATTGAACCCAGGGACTTTATACTGAATTGCATTTGTAGACTTTTTTATTTTGGGACACTAATTTCCTAGATTACCTTGGCTAGGCTCAAATTTGCAATTCTCCTGCCTCAGCCACCTATAGTGCTGGGATTATAGGTATGCCCCACTATGCTCAGCTAATTTTAGGCATAACTTTACAGAACAGCGGAGCATGAGGTTTTGAAGTAGGGAAATATACATATATAGCACAAACTGGAATGGAACTTGCAGTGATCCTCTTGCCTCAGCCTCCTGAGAACTGGGATTATAAACATGTGCCACCATGCTTGGATCTCTCTCTCTCTCTCTCTCTCTCTCTGCCTTGTTTGCTTCTCCTCTCCCTTCTTCTTT